AGACTCCCTTGAGCCCAGGAGTTGGAGGTTGCTGTGAGCTGTGATGCCATGGCACTCTACCCAGGGGGACAGCTTGAGGCTCTGTCTCAAAATAAATAAATAAATAATTAAAAATAGCCAAGTAGGCTAAGGCAAGAGAATTGCTTTGAGCCCAAGAGTTTGAGGTTGCTGTGAGTTATGATGCTACAGCACTCTACTGAGGGTAGAGACTCAACAAAATGAGTCTCTGTTTGAAAAAAAAAAAAAAGTATGGCTCTGTGCCTGTAGCACAGTGGTTACAGCACTGGCCACATGCACCAAAGGTGGCAGGTTTGAACCTGGCCTGGGCCTGCTAAACAGGGTCAACTTCAGCAACAACAACAACAAAAATAGCCAGGCATTCTGGTGGCACCTATAGTCCCAGCTACTTGGGAGGCTAAGGCAAGAGAGTCGCTAAAGCCCAAGAGTTTGAGGTTGCTGTGAGCTGTGATGCCACAGTACTCTACCCAGGGTGACAGCTTGACACTCTGTCTCAAAAAAAAAAAAAAAAAGGATTAACTAACTAAATAAATAAAATCGCAATGCCACTATCTCCACAACAGTAATCTACTTGCTTTCCTTCCCACTCTCTGTTCTCTTTTTCTGTTTTTTCTCCACAGCACTTAACACTATTTGGCACACTATATATTTTACCTTTTATTTACTGTCTCTTCTTACTACAGATTTTTATCTGTTTTGTTATACTTAAAATTGGTATGTAATAAACATTCTGTAAGTATTTTATGAATAAACAATGAATAAGTTAATTCATGTAAATTACTGTGGCCCATATTAATAGTTAACACTTACCAAACAGTTGTGGGTTTTTTTGGGTTTTTTTTTTGAGACAGAGCCTCAAGCTGTCCCCCTGGGTAGAGTGCCATAGCTTCACTGCTCACAGCAACCTCCAACTCCTGGGGTCAAGCGAGTCTCTTGCCTCAGCCTCCCAGGTAGCTGGGACTACAGGTGACCGCCACAACACCCGGCTATTTTTTTGTTGCAGTTTGGCCAGGGCCAGGTTTGAACTCACCACCCTCGGTATATGGGGCTCACACCCTATCACTGAGCCACAGGCACAGCCCCACTCTGTCACTCTGGGTAGAGTACCATGGCATCATAGCTCACTCTCACCTCAAACTCTTGAGCTTAAGAGATCCTCTTGCCTCAGCCTCCCAAGTAGCTGAGACCACAGGCACCTGCCACCACAGCCAGCTAGCTTTACTATTTTTAGTAGAGATGGGTCTTGCTCTTGCTCAGACTGGTCTGGAACTCCTGAACTCAAGTAATCCACCTGTCTTGGCCTTTCAGAGTGCTAGGATTACAGGCGTGAACCATCATGCCTGGCAAGGTTCTGTCTTTTTTTTTTT